CTCCTCCCCCAGTAACTCTCTTTCATTAGATCATTCAAAAAAGTTAACTATAACTGAAAAAAAAATTATATATCCTATTTTTCAATTTGTTCTTTCTAGATATACATGATAGTAGAGTATTAGTATTATTAATATGTCTATACATATTAGACATGCATAGAATAAATATAACTTGTTCCAATTAGGATGCCATTATTGTGGTTGTATATGATGTGGCATTACATTGGTCACATATTCATATATAAGGATAGGAAAGATATGTCAGATTCATTCTACTGTCTTTTTCTATTCCTAGCCCCTCTCCCCTCTCTTCATTCACCTTTGTCTAGTCCAATGAACTTTTAATCTTTCCTTCTCTTGCTGTGGGTTAGTATCCACATACCAGAGAGAACATTCTGCCTTTGGTTTTGGGGGACTGGCTTATTTCACTTAGCATGATATTCTCTATCTCCATCCATTTACCGGCAAATGCCATAATTCCATTTTTCTTTATGGCTGAAAATATTCAATTGTGTCCATATACCACATTTTCTTTATCCATTCATCTGTTGAAGGGCATCTGGGTTGGTTCCATAGCTTGGCTATTGTGCATTGAGTGGCTAAAAACATTCAACTGGTTGTGTCACTGTAGTTTGCTGATTTTAAGTCCTTTGGGTATAAACTGAGGAGTGGGATAACTGGGTCAAAGGTTATTCCATTCCAAGTTTTCTAAGGAATCTCCATATTGCTTTCCAGAGTGTTGCACCAGTTTGCATTCCCATCAGCAATGTATTAAGTGAAACTTTGTCCCCACATCCTACTAACATTTATTGTTATTTGTATTCTTGGTAATTGCCATTCTGACTGGGGTGAGACAGAATCTCTTTATTTATTTATTAACTGTTTTCTCATCTTTTCCTTCCCAACTCTGTAGAACATCAGCTCTGGAACAGTGAGGATCTTATCTTTTTTTTCCCCCTTCTATATCATTATGTCTTAAAAAGCTACTTGTGTACACAGCAGGAATTAATAATTCTGTTAAGTGGATAAATCAACAAAAGTCTATCCTTATAGAAAACAAAGTATAGTACAAAGTCAAAAATAAAAATTTTAAATGTTTATGAAAAG